ACGGCTGGAGGGCGGGGCTTCGATCGATTAGAGAGCACGTGGGCGTAAGAGACGCAGGCTTTGCATCTTTCTCGCGTACGTACTCTCTAATCGATCGAAGCTCCGCCCACCAGCCGCCCATCCGGTTGAATAAGAGGATAAGCAGACGCGATCAGTTCTAAACATTCTTGAACGGATGTGTAGATGTTTCATAATATGTTGTTGATACTTGTTTTTGCTCTACTAGTGAAGTAGCAAGTCAAATCGCAAGGCTTTTTTTTTGTTTTTGAAGTCTTAAAAATGACTATATTTTGCAGATCAAGCGGTTGGCTGGTGGAAAAGAAGTTCAAATATCTGCTGAAGTTGATATACTTACTGTCGGAGTGCAGGTGAAGTCTGAATACTCTCGAATATTTACAATCCTGTTAAATTTTCACATTTTCTGCAGGCGCCGAAACGTTGGGATCGACCTCCGGTTAGCGTCAATTTCGAGGTTCCGTTTGCTCCGAGCGGTTTCAAGGTAATACCGTGTGTATCAAGCATTTCGTAATGTAAGGGTGATTTCCAGGTCCGCTATCTGAAGGTTTTCGAATCTAAATTGAACTATTCGGACCACGATGTCATCAAATGGGTCCGCTACATGGGAAGATCTGGCTTGTATGAGACTAGATGTTAATCTAGTCATAGGAGTCTGATGTGAACAAAAATATAGTCTGAGATTGGCTATGCTTTCCTTTGTGCATTCCTCACTTCGAAATTGAGCGTGGATGAAATCAAGCTCGCGGGTTCTGTGAATTGATATGTTCAGTGTAAGGTCGTGAGCTTGTGTAGTCATCTGAAGAAGAGATGGTCCATTCTGTGATTCTCGGCTGATGACGATCCATTATTTTTATCTCTCATCTCACTTCTGGCAAGTTTGCTTCTCTTCGGAGGTGAGACCATTCCATCGGCTCTGTACTCACGTCATTATAGTCCGTACCTGCTGCCTTCAGTTAGAATCTTGCATGTTTTGAATTCTTTATAAGCGCTTCCCGTTATCAGCAGATTGAAATGATTGTGCAATTTTTCACTCTCGTCTTGTGATAGCTTTTTGTTCTGATTACTTTACGGTTCTGCCTCGTAAGTGCTCACTTTGATATCATATCAGATCTATAAATGTTATGGATAAAAGGCTATTTTATTTAGAGGAATAGTCGTTGGTGTTGAAGAAACTAAGCAAGCTATGGAGACAGCATAAGCAAGAGAGATGCGAGAAGTAAATGGCATGAGAATGTTTTCTATGCTTGATTTCTTACCATCTTGTCTTTGGCGCTGATATGAGGCTTCTATCGCCTATATTAGCTTGTCGCAAAAGTACTCCTCCTCGCAGATTTAGAGTACCATTTGACAGAAAGCTCTACAAAATGACCACCAAAGATTTGTCCAAGTCGTAATTTAGGTGAATTGAAGGCGAAATTCTTAATATCTTAGTTGCCCTGAAAATCAAATCCGTTATATCGGTTATTATACATTCGATGCATAGTGGTACCCAAGAATGTATTTGATGGTTTTTTTTGCGAGGCTCAAAATTGAGTAAAGGTAGCAGAAAATGCAAAATTGTCGCTTTTTTCGGGTTCTGTTGAATTCGATTTCTTGA